TCCTATTATAATATCTTTCCATCATTTTCTTTTGGGCCACCATCCTCACGTACGCCAAGTCCCTACGTTCATCGAGCAAATCCAACTTCACCAGCAATGCCTTATTATTTGTTTCTTCATTGTTTGGGAAAAATGTAGAGTCGTCTCCCCCACTTTTACCGGTATCAGAGCCTCCATGCCATATATGAGAAAGAAAGGCATTTCTCATATGCTCAACTTTGTCGTTGTTCGATATATAGTACTCCCGATAGCTCATTTTAGCATCTTCTAACCTTTTTGTCAGGTTTTGAATGATTAACTTGTTGGTTAATTCCGCCTACCCGTTAGCACTGGATGGTATGGTGAAGATGTAATTCTCTTGATATTCAATGCTTCCAAAAATTTGGTGACTTTTGAGCCTATGAATTGCGGCCTGTTGCCATAAGCAATCTCCTTCGGTATTCGAAATCGGCAGATTTTGTGGTCCCATATGAAGTCCATCACTTCATGCTCACTGCTCATATGGTAAGGACCTGCCTCAACCCATTTAGTAAAGTAGTCAGTTAAAACTAATAGAATTCTTACCTTTCTGGGACCTGGTGGTAGAGGACCAACTATGTCCATCCCCCACTTCATGAATGGCCACATGGACAACACTGAATTCAAGAGTTCTGCCGATTGGTGTATCAACTGTACATGGCATTGACATTTGTCACACTTCTGAACGTACGTCTTTGCGTCATGTTCCATTCGAGGCCAATAGTAACCTCCCTGATTAACTTTAGACCTAACAAATCTGCACCAGAGTGATTCACACAGACTCCTTCGTGAATTTCCCTCATCATGTTGTCCGCCTCCGAGGCCCCCAGACACCGGCCAACGGTCCTTGATATGATCTCCTGTATAACTGCTCATCTACGAGGTAGTAACAAACCACTTTGGTGCATATTGCCCAATACACTTTTGGGTCTTTGGGTAATTTGCCATGCCGAAGATATTCGACGAACTCATTCCTCCAGTCTCAAACTAGGTTGGTTGAATTGACTTCGAGGTAACCATCCACATCAAATACCAAATGCAAAAGTTGAACAACAGTACCAGAGTTAGATCCATTTATCTCCATGGATGACCCTAGACTAGGCAATGCATCTGCTTCCATATTCTCTTCTCTCAGAATGTGTATGATCGACCATTCCCTGAATCGTACAAGCAATGCTTGAACCTTGTTTACATACTGTTGCATGCGTTCCTCCTTTGTGTCAAAAATTCCGTACACTTGGTTTACTACCAGCTGGGAATCACATTTGATCTCGATGACCTCGAAGCCAAGTCCAAGGGCCTGTTCAAGTCTTGCAACCAAATCTTTATACTCAGCTTCATTGTTAGTTAAGGGAATAGTTTTAATGGCCTACCTCAGGGTTTCTACCGAGGGTGTGACTAGAACTACACCTAGACCGGACCCTTTTACATCGGAAGCTCCATCCTTTAACAAGGTCCAAACTTCTGATGCCATTTCTGACACCAGCACTTCCTTAGTATCCAAGGGTATTAATCCGGGATTGAATTGGGCCACAAAGTCAGCCAAAACTTGTGACTTTATCGCAATCCTAGGTTTGTACTCAATGTCGAACTCACTAATTTTGACCGCCCATTCAGCCAAATGGTCTGACAACTAAGGCTTGTGAAGGACATTCCTTTAGGGAATTGTCACAACTGCTGTCGGGTGGCACTGAAAATAAGGACTGAGCTTTTGAGAGGCAACTACGAGAGCTAAGGCCAGCTTTATGAGGTGCTGATAGCGAGTCTCCTCTCCCGATAATATTTCACTAACATAATAAATAGGAAATTACATTCTTCTTCCTCTTGGACTAAAATGGCACTTAGCGCTACTTCCAAAATTGCTAGATATATTACTAACTGCTCATCTTTCCCCTGTTTTGGTAGTAACAGGGAGATGGATAAGTACCTTTTTAGGGTTTTTAAGGCATGTTGGCATTTCGAAGTCCATTCGAAATTGTTCTTCTTTTTCAGAAGTAAAAAAAAGTGGTAGCACTTCTTTACATTTTTCAATTGGTTCGGAATGTCCTCAATAAATTTGATTTTGTCGGAATTTACCTTGATACCTCTTTGCGATACTAGGAACCCTAGGAATTTTCTGGAACCAACCCCGAACACATATTTTTCTAGGTTGAGTTTCATGTTATGCTTCCTCAAGATATCTAAGGTTTCTTGAAGGTGTTTCAAATGATCTCCTACATTCAAAGACTTGACTAACATGTCATTAATGTACACCTCCATTGTATTGCCTATCTGATTTTCAAACATTTTGTTAACGAGCCTCTAGTAAGTGGATCCGACGTTCTTAAGCCTAAACGGAATCACATTATAGCAATACGTGCCAAAGTTCATTATGAAAGAGGTTTTTTCCTAATCCTCAGGGATCATCTTGATTTGGTTGTAACCGGAGTAAGCATCAAGGATACTCATTAACTCGTGCCCGGCCGTAGCATCAAATATTTAATCAATATTTGGCAATGGTAACGAGTCTTGAGGGCACACTTTATTTAAATCCTTATAATCTATGCACATTCTAAACTTTTTATTCTTTTTCGGAACCACAACTATATTGGCTAGCCATTCTGGATATTTTACTTCCCGCATGGAACCAATATTGAGTAATCGGGTTTTTAACAAACATGTTCTTGACCTCGGCAATCGGACGTTTCTTCTGCCATACCGGTGGGAAGTCTGGGTCCCAGCTTATTTTTTGCACGACCACTTCTAAGAAATTTATAAATTCTAACCTGTGTTCGGGATTGAGTCCCGTTCCCAAGTGAAACTTCCTCTCCAAGAACTCTTCAAATAACTCCACTTGCTCGAGTTCCTCTGCAGTCGACTTAGTCGCATCCTTCTCCTCTGGAACTTGAAAGTATCTCAGAACTTGATAGGATTCTGATGACCCCTCACTCTTGTCATCTTCGTTCGGAGAGAGAGACAACATCGGTTCTTGTGATTTCTATTTGGTGGGTTCCTTTACCTTGGTGATGGAAACAATTACCGCGTTCATCTCCCTTGCAGCCGATTGATCTCCTCTTATCTGCTTGATTCCCTCTAGGGTTGGGAATTTTAATAACTGATGATACATTGAGGGCATAACCTTAAATTCGTGTATCCACGACCTCCCGATGATTACATTGTGTCCCATGTCGACATCTACTACTTCGAATAAGGTGGTCTTGGATACCCATTTGGCATTCGTGGGCAGCAGGATCTCTCCTTGAGTTTTCACACTTGTCAAGTTGAATCCAGCTAAGAGTTTTGTTGCCGGAATGATGCTTTCGATCAGATTTGCTTTCTCCAGTGCTCTCTATTGGATTATGTTGGCTGAAAGTCCTGGGTCAACCAAAACACGCTTAATTTTGAAACCTAAAACATTAAGAGAGATTACCACATCTTCATTAGGTAGGAGAAGAAGTCCGTCAACATCTTCTTTCGTGAAGGTGATATAATCCTCCACGGCTTCCTAGAGTCTCTTGTTGTGAGTCACCAATATCTTTGTTTTCTTGCCCGCCGAGAAGGTTACACCATTGATTTTGTTCCCTCCGAAAATCATATTGATAGTCAACCGAGGGGAGTCTTCTACCGCCTTAGAAGGTTCTGCATTGTCCCGGTTTAGGCCGTACTTGTTCTTGGCTCGGTCGCTTAAGAATTACCTGAGATTTCCATTTTTCAACAATGTTGCCACCACTTCACACAGATGCTGACAGTCCCAGTTCTATGGCCATGAATCCCATGAGATTCACACCACAAGTTGGGATCAGATCTGATTGGCTTTGGGAATCATGCTTCTTTGATATTCCGCATCATCGATACCGGCTCTACCAAGCTGATGTTGAAGTTGTAATCCAATAACGTGGGATAGGGACCTGTTTTTCTTGTAACGGCCTGTTGTTCTGGCGACGATTAGCTCTTTTATCGGGAGCAAACCTATCCGAGGACCGAAACCCTTTGCTGCTGCATCCCCGGTTCTTTCATATGGCAGGAAACAACATTTAGAAGACCGTCGATCCGCATCGAAGTTGCTTTTACCCACAGTGGGCACTAAACTGTTTACCGTAAAATGATACAGTTAAATTTGTTACGTGGTTTATAGACAAACGAACTGATTTGATCCAAAAATTGATAAAGAAATAAAACTAAAAAAATGAGACTTAGCAATTGAAATTAAAGAAAATAACGAGCCTAGCTCCGAGCACAATGTCTCCGAGGGCAAAAGTGAAAGCAATGATAAAGAGCAAGCAAAGTTTGTTTAATTGAGAGCGAAAGTAAAATATAACATATGTTTTGCTATGAGTTTTTCGTGTGTTACAATGGCTGTTGAGCCTGCTATTTATAGCTATACCTAGGGAAACAAGATCCTATGATCAAGCCCCACTTAAGTGATAATAAAGGAGTGATGATGAATATATAACGGCAGACCATGAATGCAAATATTCCCTATAACGATCGCTCATTTAATGTTAGAGAATATTTTCTCATTGAATGCTATCCAATGACAAATACTCGATCTTCTCCCGTTAACTATACTCCCTTGGAGATTTATGCGACACCGATTGCAGCGGTTGTACCCGGTACTAATTGTTACTTCACTTATCTTTTGACTATCCTCGGTTCCACGTGTCATGCTACCATTCGATCATTTATTATGAACCAATTTTACCCCGTACGACCTCTCCCCTATATAAAAAAAGAATAGTGATAAATAACTCATTGCTTTGCCAAGATATCAAACGAAATCAGTTTGGTACTTTGGAATATATTTGGAACAAGTGGAAGTTAGTTATTTTGTAAAAATTATTTATAAACCGAACATAGAGTAAGAAAAGTTATTTGGTGTATACCAAAAAATCTGTTCCTCAAAATTTACGAAGAAACGCCACCTAAGATACTCCACGTGGCAGCTCGTGAAACGCCAGGGAGAGTGCTAATCACGAGATTCTGGTCTCCGCTCACCTCACCTCCTCACCTTTGCCTGTCACTCAATAAACTCAACTCATCAAATAAAATCTCCTCTTTCTCTCTCTTGGTTGTGTTCACGTCGTTCATCCATTTCACATCTCTTCTCTTCAATTAATTCCTATATATAAATTCAACTCACTATGCCAGCTCCTGTTACTTTCATCCCTTGATTCATTACTGTACCAGTCTTCAATTTTTTTCCCTTTTGACTTTCACTTACGATTCCGATATGGAAAAATGTCGTTTGGTTCTGTTTCTTGCCGCGATTTCTTCAGTTTTCCGACTTCTCCATGCCACCTCCGGCGACTCTGATCCGATTTACAAGTAAGTTCTGCTCTAATTCTTCTTTTTTAAACTATCTGTACTTGCTCAAGTTTTCTAGCTTATTTATTGCATTTAAAATACTAGTGGTTTGATACTATGTTAGTCCCCAACTTATATGTTTAATTTGGCTGGTAGATTGTGTAATTCTTATAACTTTTGGGATTTAGCAGCTCGATACAGTACGAATCCACTAGACAATTAAGTAGGAAGAATACAGGTGCGTATGTAGGGAGGAAATTTTTTTACGTAGGGAAACCATTTTATGGAATAATGTTGGGTATAAAGCAGGTGACATATGGTAAATTTATAAGGTGGAGGATGGAGTTTTCCAGTTATTTTGGATATTAAAGAATGATAATAATGTCAAAGTTTGGGAGAGGGTGGTGGAATGGAGGGTGAGGAGGGCAGTGTCTATATCTGACAATCAATTCGGGTTCATGCCGGGTCTTTCCACTACGGAAGCTATCCACATTATCAGGAGGTTGGTGAAACAATATAGGGATCGGAAGAAGGATTTGCACACGGTGTTTATTGACCTAGAGAAAGCGTATGACAAGTTTCTAGGGAGGTTCTTTGGAGATGTCTGGAGGTGAAAGGTGTGCCGGTAGCTTATATTAGGGCGATAAAAGGACATGTATGAGGGAGCTAAGACTCAGGTTAGGACTGTGGGAGGTGACTCGGAGCACTTTTCTGTTGTTATGGGGTTGCACCAAGGGTCTGCGCTCACCCGTTCTTATTTGCCCTGGTGATGGATGCACTAACTTTGTCATAGGAAATATATCATCAGCAAACAATATACACCATATTCAAGGGGGATTTGCCATGGTGCATATTGTTTGCTGATGATATATTTCTGATTGATGAGACGCGAGGCGACGTTAATGAGAGGTTGGAGGTTTGGAGACAAACCCTTGAGTCTAAAGGTTTTAAGTTGAGTAGGACTAAGACAAAATATCTAGAGTGTAAGTTCAGTGATGCGTCAGGGAAAACGGACATGGATGCGAGGCTTAACTCACAAGTCATCCCCGAGAAAAAAAAGTTTCAGGTACCTTGGGTCAATTATTCAAGGGATGGGGCGATAGACGAGGATGTCACGCATCGTGTAGGAGTGGGGTGGATGAAATGGAGGTTAGTATATGGAGTCCTGTGTGACAAGAAAATGTCACTGAAACTTAAAGACAAGTTCTATAGAGCGGTGGTTAGACCGACCATGCTGTATTGGGGCCGAGTGTTGGGCAGCCAAGAATTCTCATACTTAGAAGATGCAAGTAGTAGAAATGAGGATGTTGAGATGAATGCGTGAGCACATTAGGCTGGATAAGATTAGTAATGATGATATTCGGGAGAAGGTGGGCGTGGCTCCCAGGGACGACAAGATGCGGGAAGTGAGGCTTAGATGGGTCGGGCACGTGCGGAGGAGAAGCATAGATGCCCCGGTTAGGAGGTGTGAGTGGTTGACATTGGCAGGTACGAGGAGAGGTAGAGAGCGACCTAAGAAGTATTGTGGTGAGATGATCAAACAAGACTTGGTGCGACTTCAAATCTCCGAGGACATAGCTTTGGATAGGAAGGTATGGTGGTCGAGCATTAGGGTTGTAGGTTAGGAGGGAGTCGAGCATTTTTCTACGTTGTTCCGAGGGCGGGGCTAGGCTGATAATGTTTCGCCGTGGGTTGTTAGTGGTGTAGTTTCCACACTATTTCCTATGGCATTATTATCGGTTATTGTTATTGCTTTTACATCTATTTTTCCGTTTCTTACGATGCTGATATATTTTTCTGGCTTTTGTTGCTTTCACTGATCCATTGTCTATTGTTTATTGTTTATTGTTTATTTTCTTCTTGAGCCGAGAGTCTTCCAGAAACAGCATCTCTACCCCTCTTGGGTAGGGGTAAGGTCTGCGTACACTCTACCCTCCCCAAACCCCACTTGTGGGATTTTACTGGGTTGTTGTTGTTGTTGTTGATAATAATGTCAAAGTTTAAGCGTGCAACACTAGGTGATTTCTTCACGTCTGCCTAAGCCTTGGTGCGCTAGGTGATTTCTTCCCGTCTGCCTAAGCCATGGCGCACAGAGCCACCTAGTACCTATGCTGGTGGGAGATAGCAGTTACCCTGTGGAATAGTCGACGTGTGCACAAGTTAGCTCAGACACCATCGTTATAAATTATATCAAAGTTTAAGTTGAAAAATTATACTCCCTCCGTTCCAATTTATGTGAACCTGTTTGACTGGGCACGGAGTTTAAGAAAAAAATGAATATTTTTGGAATTTGTGGTCCTAAACAAGTCCAAATGGGGCCCAGAGTATTTGTGTGGTTATAAAAGCTTCTCATTAAGGGTAGAGTTGTAACTTTAAGCTAAATTGTTACCAAATTTAGAAAGGGTTCATTCTTTTTGGAACGGACCAAAAAGGAAATAGGTTCACATAAACTGGAACAGAGGGAGTATTGAGTATCGATGGTATATTTATAAAGGACAGTAACTTTTGCTCATAAGGACAAATAGTCATTTGTGCTCTTTTGATAGTAAACATCTTCCGTCATACCAAACACCGTTAAACACCTTTTCTGGCAATTAATGCCTTTTGTTATAAAAAATTGATAGATGAGTCGTTTAGAATTCGAAGTGATGCTGCTGTCTCACTTTATTAGTGTGTGCTTGAAAAAATATTTGGGAGATGGAGAATTATTTTTTTGTTGCCTATGTATTGTTGAAAACACATTCTAAGGAGAAAATAGAGTCATTGAATGTTTATCTTGTGATAAAGAAGCTTAGTGTTTCTTCAGCCGTGGAATTTTCGTCCTTGCTAATCCAAAGAAATGGACTTGGATTTCTAGAGTAACCTGTGGGAATCAATTGATCTTTCTCTTGTCGAAAGTTGAAACCTTGTATATTGTGCCTTACACGGAAAGTGTAATCATGGATTAAAATGCTCTATGGTCAAGGAACCTGCTATCATTAAGAACTTTGTCCTTTTTAAGTAAGCAGCAATTAGACGTAACTTTTCAACCATTTAGATGTTGATGCTGGTCTTCCAGAGATGGTATCACTTGACCTTTGGATTTAACTTCCTAAAATTACAAGTCATACAAATAAGTGATGACGAATGATAGTGGCATCTGGAATGGAAAAGGGTTTCGGTTCGGTTTGGTTCGGTTTGGTTTTGCTTTATTTTTGAAAATTAATGTGTTTGGATTTGGTTTTGGAAGAATTGCCTTCTGGAAATGTTAGTCCCTTATAGAAGTACACCTGAGTTTATTGAAGGACAATGCGTCTTTCGCTGATGTTTCCTCACGATATATATTTCCAAGTTGGTTTAATGAGATAAACTTAAACAGGCTCACCCTCTGTTTCTAGTTTACTTCGATAAATTAGTGACAGTTGTATGAAGTAAAATAGATGAGCAAGCTGCAAACAAGAATTCGTTAACATTCTTAACAACATTTACTTTATCCTTAAATACGGAGTATTGAAGTAGTATGGACCCAAACAGAGCATTTAAGATATTGAGGATTCATACAACGGACTCCAACTAGTTTGGGATTGAGGCATAGTTGTTGTTGTTGGCTTCACAAGACCTAACGTTCACTATATTTTCATATGCTCGGCTTTTGAGAAGGTTGCTTTTTATTTCTAGTTTGTTTGAATTACTATATTTATGGTCTCCCATGGAACCATTTAATCCAAGTTTTGTTTTTTGACTTATTTGGTATAACAGATTTCTAGAAAATTTTATCCTATAGAGTGAATTGATGCCAGTGAGCTGCTTTTTGACTTCATAAGGTTATTAATTAGGAAAGGCACCGTTATGTCCTCCAGAATTGCTGTTAGTTGCTGAAAGTTACTCCTATATTTTCTTTAGAAATGATATTTAGGTTACAAGATACCTAATTTATGGCCCTAACACCCCCCCCCCCTTCCCACACACACACAAAAATAATTGAGAGTTCAATGACTAATTTGCAGATTCCAAAATGTCGGAGGTTGAACTCAATGCAAATCTCTGATCTCTGAGTTTTTAGTTTTGCTTCGATCAAATTCATTGAACATAACTTTACAATTGTTACGTTTGACTGTTAAAAGGCCCACATAACCCAGGCTACTATGGCTTCTTTGTCAAGATGAACACATAGCCAATAGCACTGCGTCTTCTAGTCTCAACCCACACGGCCAAAAACCCAACCAAAGTATGAATAGCCTCAGAAGCTGCAAAGATCAAAAGTGATCCCAAAAACTAGTGAAAACCTTCTAAAAAAAGTGATCATGGATGGGTTAAGCTCATTTTGTATATGGAATTTGACCACTAGCAGCTGTAAAGTTATTATAATTTCCATACTTTTCAATTTATGCTGTTCTAGAATTTTCTACTCTGAATCATGAAATGTAAATGGCTGTATATGAATATACCTTTTGGCAGATTTTTAAGCCTATAGCCACCATCTGGACTATGATGTACTTAAGATTATTGCAATCATGCTATTGGTTCCCTCTCTACTTCTGCTTCCTGGGTAGCACCTTGCTTTCGTTCCTGGCAATGGTGAATCTGATTGAAACCCAAGTATTTGCTTGTTTCCGCTGCAATTCTTTCAAAGTGATTTTGCTTCATGACTTATGATCATTGAGTTTGTTGGTTTCACAGAGCATGTGTTGATCAGTGCAAGGAGACTGGATGTGTGGGGGACAACTGCTTTCAGCATTGCAATTTTTCTTCTGGGGGAAATCTCATTGGTGGTCCATGGTACCTGCAGGAACCACTATATCTGAGATGGAAACAGTGGGACTGCCTTAGTGATTGTCGATACCACTGTATGCTTGTCAGAGAGGAAGAAAGGCAGAAGCTTGGTCTTAAGCCTATCAAATATCACGGGAAATGGCCATTCCGTCGTGTTTATGGGATCCAGGTTCTTCATAGAAATAAATTAGTTATTTCTTTACATCTAGTCTCTGATATAATTCATTCATCTTAACCAAGTCTTTTCCAAAACCAGGAACCTGTTTCTGTGGCTTTCTCTGCCCTTAACCTTGCTGTACAATTCCATGGATGGGTATCCTTTTTCATTCTAGTGAACTACAAGCTACCTTTTAGCCCAAGCAAGAAGCCCTATTATGAATACACTGGTTTGTGGCATATTTATGCAATTTTATCAATGAACGCCTGGATCTGGAGTGCTGTTTCCCATAGTAGGTGAGTTCCCAATTCATTCTTTTTAATCTCTGATTAGTAATCCCCATCTACTATAAACTGCATAAATTTTGTTTAAGCTGAAATCAAGTGGTTTAAAACTGTCTTGCTAAAAATGTTACTGGCAACTGCTCGAGTTTCTTCTATTGATTGATAGCTTCATCTTCATAAATGAAGAAAGTGGAAACTTTTCTTATCAATTTCCGAATTTTTTCTGAGGTTTTGTGCTATCAGATATCATATGTGACTATGCTGCTGCTGTGAATAACTATGGTGCATGTAGAGTTAGAGTCACAATTGTCTTTTGCTTTCTGCACAATTGTTCCTTTTGCACTCTGAACATAACAGGGTAGCACTGTTTGGTGCATGTAAATCTCGTTGTTTACTAATGAGTATTTTTTTGTTGAACTCGATTAAACAAAAAAAGAGTAATTTTTTTGGTTGAGCTGTGTGACTACCTCATTAAGCTTACATCGTATGAGAGAGATCACCTATATTTAGTTAATAATGTCTTAACATGTCCCTGCAAGTGGGCCCCTGATTAGTTTCTTTGGCAAAGCACGTGGAAGTACCTTTAGTTTACGGGTCATGGTAAAACTTGAACCTAGGACCTTTTCTGCTTTGGTACCCTGGTAAATTGTATGATCACCTCATTTGAGCTTAAGTTATTAGAGAGGGGGCACTTTTATTTATTTAATTATGTCTCAACACTTTTTCTAATTTTAACTGTTGTTTAAGATCGCCTGCATTTGTAACTTTTCTGAAAAGTTAGACTAGTGTCTTCATCATAGTAATAACCATGTCGGGAAACTGTGGCACTATCTCTAATGTAATTATGCTATTGTCTTCTCGCTTAAAGTTTCTCACTTTTGATTTTTCTTGTTTTGATGTTCTGAAATTAATTTGCAGAGATGTAGAATTGACTGAGAAGCTAGATTATTCATCTGGGGGTGCGTTGGTTGGGTATTCACTCATTCTTGCTATATTGCGAGTCTTCAATGTGAGAGATGAGGCAGCAAGGGTAATGATTGCTGCTCCCATTGTTGCGTTTGTGACAACCCATATCTTGTATCTGAACTTTTATCAACTTGACCATGGTATGTCCCCTTTCAGTATGACTCTGTTGAATACTGCATGATTGTCATCAAGTGTACTTAATTCCTGCTAGGCCTGGAAACAATACATCAACTCCTTGGATAATTCTAACATCATTAGTCCAATTCCCTCTTGGTCATGATCTAGGATCTCTATATTTTTCAACTTCTGCAGTATATTATAAAAAGCAAAAACTTGGTTATTTATCTTCCTGATGTTTCTCTATAAAGACATAAGTCACATAGTCAAGTGGATCGGACTAGAGAGGGAATCTGTAGATGCAGGTAGATGATTATCAGGTTATTATGCATGTCCTCTTGGACGTTGAGTGAAGAGTCGCAAAGATGGCAATGAACAGATCTAAGGAAAAAGTAAAATGCTTCATCTTATTTTGAATCCACTCTGCCTTGATGAGGTTGAGTGCTGTTTCCTAATTGTGCTTTTTAAGATATCAAAATGGTGATTTGTGGGGTGTCACTCAATATAAAAGTAAAACAAATAAAACAGACAACTCCAAAACTTTAATAAGAACTGACCATTAGGCTATCTACTTCACCTACCTCCTTTGATCTTAGTTCAAGTCGTGATTGCTTATGTTTTGGCCTAATGATATAGCTGGATTCCTACTTTCCAGTGTTCCTGAAACCGGTTTAGACTGCCTTCTTGTCTATCCTTGAGTTTAATTTCAGGTTATTGTGTGTGTCGTTGGGTAAAGAGTGACAGAAGAATGGCAATGAATGGATATATCTAAGAAAAAGTACAAAAGCTACGTCTTAGAGAATTCAGTTTGCCTCGATGTGGATGGTGTCACACAATTATCTTGTCCCTGGACCAAGGACTCGTGCAAACTAATTTTTTCATATATGCAGCCACTAGCAAAACAAAATAGAAATTACTCAAACAAAGAAAAAGTAGACCTGAACTGCAATTTCTTCTTTAGTCATTTAACATTTATTGAATCTATGAGTTAAATGTTCAATTGCCATCATGAAATGTTTGATCGAAAAAGGCAAACATGTTCTTGAGTGGAAAACTACTTTGTTGAGATGACTAAAAGGTTAATTGAGGGAGTTCTTCCTCTACTGACTGTTCATTTGCATCCTCTACCAATGTAAAATTTAATTTGCACGCATCTGATTGTCCGTTCTCATTTTTCTACTCCGTGAATTCACGTTTCTAAATAAACTTTGAATCGAGTTTTGGACAACTACTGCGATGTTTCTTGTAAGAGCATATGTAGACTAGCCATTTGCACATAAACAGTTACGACAATTTTAAAAGATACAGGACACTGCAAAATATATGTACATCTTAAGAAACAGGACAGAGGTGTCTAATAAGCTTAAATGCTTTGGGATTATGCATCACCTGTCAAACTTGTAGTGGTCATCTTGCTTTGTTACATCAACAATAACATTTGGCAGTCTCCTTTTTTTCTCTCATTTTCCAAAATCTACATTCATGAAAAGTCAAGCGCTAATATGAGCTCGCATCGGGGGTGGG